TTGATCGGACGCTGGTCCGTGCAGAATGACAACGTCGTTTTTTATGTCGAGTTTTGACACATATTTGTTAGGATTTTTGCTTAGTATTTGTAATATGGGAAGCGATACTTAGGATGTCATAAAATGATTATAGCCTCTTTATTTTTGTTACGTACAATTTTTATTAATTTTTGATTTGTCTTATATAGAAAATAATCCTTTTAATGCAAACACTTTATATCACAGTTTATGTCATTTAAACCTTGGTCTGTGCGCACTATCCGCGACCTTTAAAGACCCAGATTTTTACAAAAATATTACGTTCCATCCATAAAAATTAAATCATTCTGATTTGCTTTTTCATAAGAAATATTTTGATATCCAAAAGTTTTATACAGAACCATTAATTTTCACAAAAACGTCATTGTCCACGAACTTTTTGGACGACCCTCGTACATGCTTGGCAACCTGATTTATACATTATGCACCCAAAGTTCTGATCAGCTTTCGCTGCAAGTTCATTACTATTATTGCATCTGGTAAATGAAATGTGCTTTTCCCATTATATTACATAACGGCATTGGATTTCTTTCTCTACACACACCCTAAAAAACTGCTTATAAACTTTAAACTCACCATAAACTTCTCGCAAAATAGCGGAGGAATGACTTAAATGCTGCTTCCTCCCTTACTGTTTGTGCCTTCTTCGCTAAATTCCACATTCATCAGGTGTAAGAACTTGTTCACCGTCTTAGAGTCTGTGGGGGACGGCATAAAAAGGTACTTAATCCTTCCCTTTTTTGTTATCATCTGCAACATTGAAAAGATATTCATTGGTATATCTGAAGTTTAACCTGTGACAGATTTGTTTAAATGCACGTATTTAAGATAGTCGAATAAAATAGAAATTTTAATTGCGGCTTCTTTTAATGTATAAACATGGTTTAGATTGTCCAAATATATCTCTCCTCTTTCTGTTGGTAAATGTAAACATGTAAACCATATATATATACAACTCGTAAATGCCACACAGATAAATGTTGTCTTATAATTTGGACACACACATACTTTTAAAGGAATTAATAAAATATTATCAAAAATTCACCTGATGAACACCAACTCTCCTTAACCCGTTAACAAACTGTTTTGTCTCTTCAGAGTCTGGGAGGTCAAGGACAGATATTAGTTGATAAAAAAATGGCCCTCCTTGGATGGCGCTCAGTCCTATAAAAACATGGATAGAAGGATAACTACTATAGTCTGTCCCACGACCGGAACGTCACTACTTTTTGCAAAATATCTCAAAATAACTAAATACCTTGGACTTCAACCTATATCCGATTGGTAGATTGATTTTTTTCCAAACTTCCTGCATTTATCCGAACCCTCGAGGTCAACCAGTGTATACACACGGCGGCAAATTCAAAGTCTACGGGGATTTAACATGGTAAACTCGTCCATTAACGTCTAGGTTACGGGGCCGGGAACCAGTTATTGAAGGGAGTAGTCGTCCTTTGCAAAATAAATTTCCGAAAAATCTTTAAAAATTAAAGGAATTAATTTAAATTGCTTTCATTGATAATACAACTTTCACTTTGAATTAAAATTAATTTTAACAGCAATTAACAAGTTTAATTATTAACTTCGAGAAAATAGCCCGAATCTAACGAAGTACAACTTGTGGAGAATGGATGTTGACATGATGATGCAAGCTCGCCAGTGTTTAAAACGTAAGTTGTTTATTATTTCTATGGTATTTTTGCGCTTTTGTTGTTTTACTAGCTTATATACACACAAGAAAGAAATGTCTACAAATGGTAAGAGTGTATAAATTTCAAAACGCGTGATATTGATGACATTGGATACAACGATTTCAGCTATTTGTATTTGGTAAGTGCTCATGGTTATTGTGCCCTGTAGCGGTCTGTATGAAAGCCCATGTGTGAAAAATCTCTATGATTATAATAGAACAAGAAGATGGCTAAACAAGTAGGTGAAAAATAACCATAAAGAAAGGCACAGCTGATTATCATAGCAAATCAACTTAAGTTTATTTCTACTTTCATTTTCAATTTATACCATTTCATGTACATGCATTTGGCACATATAATAACAAGCTATAGATCTAAAGAACATTTTTAATTTTACATTTATGTGTAGTATCAACACCCTGGGAGCATCAAAACAGAGTTTTCAATAGATAACACATTTTAGTATTATTTTTCAAAACTTTATAATATTAAAATATGTGCATGCATTTTTTAAATCAAATCTTTGTCAATCAAACAGGATTGAGTTCTAATGGTGAATCATGTACATGCATGCATATTGATGAATTAATTAGCAGAACCAGACATAAAGTAGATGAATATGCATGTACTGGCTGTTTCAGGAAACCATTTTCTTGACCTTGCAGTTTAAATGAGAAAGTAATTTAAACACTATTCATCAAAGGAAAACAGAAAGAACATGTCTGTATAATTTGATCAGCATAGAAAGTTAAGATAGGCTGAATCGTTTCATCTGAATCTGAGTACAGACTTGTAAATATGTACATATAACACCAGAGACAAATTCCCATCAATACTGTCATGCACATACTATGAGTTCAAATTCTCAGCCAGGTCCTCTTTAAAAAAAAGTTTGATTGCCCTGTCCCAACCAACTGGCTAATGACACAATTTTTTTTTGTAATCTCCAGGAATCATTTTTTTTTTGGGGGGGGGGATAAATTAATAAAATTTATATTAAATTTTCTGATAATAATTTTCTCACCTACCAGCCAACCTAATCCTGAGTTGGGAGAGGACAAGTGAATGCTATTTTCAAGCTGCACATAGCCTCAACATCATCATTTCTCTGTATAAAGTCCTATACTGCTTAAATGTGAACTTAATTTGAAAATTTCTGTTTCCTTAACTCTAGAAGATTATCATCTAAGTAATTGTTTTTAAAAACTGCAGGCCATGATTAAATTATTTTTATTTGATATACTCTGACACACATTTTTCAAGGAGAGTAGGTATAGGTAGCTTTTTTTTTTGGCTTAATAGTATTGATCAAAGTGATTATAAAGTGTCATTAAAAAATTGCAGACTCCGAAATTTATTAATGTTTAACAGTATAACAGTTTTCAATACACACTAGATAACTATAGACAGATGAAATATTAATCATTAAAAAAAATTTAACTAAAAGCATCCAAGAGAATTCAGAAATCATATACCACAGTTTTAAAATGAAACAGTCTCTATTTCTATTTAATGAAACTAAATTTTAAAAAAAAATTCAAGTTGCTTATAAAAATTGTTGGGGCATTTTGATGGGTCAGTCGGAGTACATCAAACAAAACATTTTATCCTTATTTGCTAGTATTTGTATAGCATGGTTGACTTGACCTTTGACCTACTTTGCAAAGAAATACCCCAGTCAATTTAAACTTAAGACTTTTGGGTGGCGGTGTTGATAGATTAACATTTATTCATGTTTATTAACTTATAATACTGTTCTTTGAAACTGTATGATATTCAGAAACCACACAAACTGATATCTTAAACATTAATATGAGAATCAGATTACATTGGGATTGGGTCCCACAAAGTTGATCAAGCAATGTGGCAATTGCTTTGAAACGCATATTAACATGTTAAATGATAAATTAATAATTTTTTATAATGATTTCAACTAAATTATTCAGTTGAGGGTTGCATACTGTATATGCCGGCCAGTAGCATAAAAATAGCTGGCCACTCATAGATTTAGATACATCTTAATAAAGAAGCTAAAAGCAAGTGACACATTTGTTTCTTAAATTGGAACACTCTAGTTTATGATGAAATTGATGTCCTGTTATACACTTTTATGACACTTTCTCTTCTTTCAGCAATATGAAGCTTGATTTAGACACTGCAATATAAGGAGAGAAGCAGACCAGAAACCTTTGGCTAAAGCAAAGATAATATGCATAAGTAGTAAGTTTACTCTAAAATTCAAGATATTCAAAATATCCTGTCTCTTTTAAATACAGTGGAGCCTCATTTATCCGTCCGCTTTGTCAATTTGTCCGGATATGTGAAGCATCCGCATATCTGAATTATCTGCTAAACAAGAAAAAAATATTAAACGTTAAAAAATTTTGTTCTGATGAAAAATCATCCAGATACTGAAGCATCCAGTAATCTGGTGTTCGGATATCTGAAGGTCCACTGTACATGTATTGAGAATGAATTTTTGACGCTCTGAGCACCTGATGTCTATTACAATTTTCCCTCTAATCTTTCAATTGTATATTATTCTCTTAGTATCCTTAAATTTTTTCCCATGAACCACTGGGACAGAAAAGCTGAAACTTATGTGGAAGCATCCTGGGATAGAGTAGATTCTAAATTGTTCAAATTATGACCCTGGGGGTAGGTCGGGGCCACAATAGGGAACCAAACTTTTACATTGATATACTCAGTATTTATTAAAAAATTCTATAAAAAATTTCTTCTAGGGAATTACTGGGAAAGTAAAGCTGAAACTTATGCAAAATCACTGTAGGGTAGTGTAGATTTTATATTGTACAAATTATGACCCGGGGGTAGAGAAGGTATAACAAGGGGTTAATCTTGTAAAGAACTGCATGATCAAAGCTATTCAGGTAAGCAATGTGGCCCAAGTGCCTCTTGTAATATATTTGTGTGAATTAAATGCTATTGCAATATATGTGATAGTCATCATATTTTACAGGATATTTGAGAAAATATTAACTTCAAATCTGTGTAAAAGCACCTTTAATAATGCACAATCTCACCATTTGAAAGAATAAACAAACCTTGATCAAAAATATATTAATGAATGAAGCATAGAATATTTGATTATACATGTACTTTTATTACTAACTTACAAAATGATGTTTTATAGGTTACATTATTCACAAGAGTGCAAAGTTATGATGACCATGCAGAGACAAGATACCATAACAAAGACATGCAAGAAGAAGGATGTTCACTCAATTTTTCAGATTAATGTGTCAGATTGATCGTAAGTCATCTTATGTTGGACAAAACAATCAGGACGTTCATCTGGATCACAGCTAGTAAGTAGTTATTTGAATGAAAAAGATTTTACTCTTCCTACGTATACTTCAGATTGGAACCTGAAAATGAGAATTAACCAAGTATATGTATTTTTAATAAGTAAACAATTCATGTTACTTAATATGACGAACATGATCTGAATTTTTAATGTATCTTTAAATTTCACTTTGCACAAATTTATAAGTATTTTTTATGCACTGAATCTTATGACAAATTAAAATGTTTTATCATCAATTTTTGCAGGCACAAATTAAAGTATTGACAAAACCAAAGATTACCTGGTAGTCTGCAAATGGAGTGGTCATTGGATGAGCCAGACAACACCATTTTCATCAGAAATTTTAGGATGAGACTAGTCACTTGATCTCCATCTTCATTCATAGATGACTGATGTCGACATTTTCTCACTTCTGTTTCATGTCTTTAATACAACATGGACTCAACACTTCAGCATCAGTGGGCGCTTGACTTTTATAAACATTTATTCCTCTGAAATTCATATAATATCCTTTAATATAGGACATATATAACAAATTATTTATCTTGTAAAATATTTTTAAATTTTACTGAATTAATAAAACAATGAAACAGTTCAAACAAACTGGTTTATCCTATAATTTAAAACTGTTTTATGTTTGAAGTAATTTATAATTTTACTGTTAAGATACCTAAGGATCCTCAGACAGAAAGGATAACTCTTTAATTTACAATTTAATTCATAGTCTCAAAATGAAGCTTGAAATTTCAATCTTTTCGAGCAACAATTAATTTTCATTTTATCATGATAATATTTATAACTTCTCAATGTCCTTCAAGGTTGTTTGAATTTCTCAGAAAGGTCTTATAAAAAGTCCCAATTTTTAGTTTTAACTTATTAAGTAAAACTAGGATAAATAGCAAAGTTAAAATTTGTTTCATCCATATAAGGAATTCATTATAATTACATGGCTGCCTAGCTGGGGATCCAAGAAAACTTCACCATATCAAGAACTCGCAATATCGATGTTCGTTCTGAACATTTAAGTTTTACTGACACAGTAAAAGTATTTCAAAATTACTTTGCCTATTTTATACAGTTATAATAAAATAATTCCAAAGTATTTTACAATTTTAAAAACAGTTTTCTCAATATTCTAGCACAAATAAATAATTTTTAAAGATTTTAGTCTGTATTTATTTCTTAAATATAAATTTATACTTAATACATACTGGGACCATCCCTTGACAACAGGCCGAGACAGAGATATCTCAGCCCTGAGGACGAGACAGCCCTACTTCCCATTCGTGTCTCGCCTAGTCTAAACAGGGCTGATACACTACTAGGTATATGATATAGGTGAATTAGGAATATACATGTTTGTGTATTAGGAAATTGTCAATGAATATTATGGAAGGGAATTACCGCCAAAATCTATGTATCTTGCTTTTATTCTTATTCTGCCTACTTCTTTATGCTTTGTTATTATTGTAATTATATGTCACTTTATTGTTTTCGTATTCGTCTTTATTATATTACAATTGAGCTTTTATCGTTCTTTATATTGTCCTTACTTCTATGTTGCTTTATTCTTGCGAATACATTCTACTTTCTTTTAATTTGATACTGTTTTTTAAATAAACTATCTTGATTATCTCGATTACGAACGTAAATTCAATCATGTAAACAATGCCGCCTAGCGTTATAATGCGGCACTAAATTCAATGAAGACGAATGTAAGTTGTCCGAATTTAGTGCCGCATTATAACGCTAGGTGGCAGGGTGTTCGCTATACGAATGTTGGTAAAAATAGGTAAGCAAAACCGAACCGGGGTTATTAAAGATTTTTCAATTTTCTGCCTTGATACTTTATCAATCGAACTTAAATTTTCAAATGATGTTTGTTATAAGTTCAGGTATGTACCCGATATTGCCATTCCCTCGGAAAATGGTAAGATTAATTTCCCCTGGAAGACTGACTACATAGTGATGCTTCCTTCGGAAGACTATTCAGTGAGACTTCCCCCGGGGAAGTTTCATATATAGCTAGTCTTCCGTGGGGAATCTAGCTGTATATAGCAATTCGTCCCCTTCATAGCAACCCCACCCCCGAATATTTTTTTAAATTGTAAAACAATGTTTATATGCTAACGTATTCAGTTTTTTAAGAAAAGTTATACGTCCTACACGAATAAATGTTTAAATGAAACCATTTAATAGTGGTTAATAATTAAATCATTTTAACCATTTAGTTTAACATAGATAATCTTCACGAGTACAAATGGATAATGACCCCCCCCCCCCGGATGCCCCTCCACTCGGGTGCAATCGCCCGCGTGGCACTGTGGTTACGGCGTCTGCTCTAGGGTCACGAAACACAGTAGTAAGGAGTCAATCAATACGTCGTGGGTTCGAATCCCACTATGGGACGTGGAGTTCGGTCCTTCGGATGAGATCTAGAGCGTATTATTAATAGTAGTAGTAATAGGTGCTGGCCCGATAAAAGAGTCCCCCACTGCACAATGGCTATAAGTGCCGAGTATATAGGACAAATTTGCAGCTATCCACCGGCAAGAGGTGGTTTCTCCATTTCAGTTAAAAATTCTCCAATTTAAAGGGACGTTATACAATCATACTACCAAGTCTCAATATATATATACTGACTTCCGTCTGTACGACCTCCTATGGGGTAAGTTTCACCGGTAGAGGGGAGGATGCCACGAAACATTTTCCTAAACGTAACATACTTTTTACTACTGGAAAAGTTCAGCGAAAGGCTTGTTGCCCCCATCCCTTACACTTTTTGTTGCAGTACTAATCACATGCTAATACAATGTAGTCAATTCATATATTAAAGTAGTCATGTACTTAGTGGCATATGTACATATGAGTTATATTTGGTACTGAAAAAAAGTTGACGACCCCCCCCACCATCAAATACAGAATTTTTAAGTTTTAAGATTTTTTTTTAACTCTCCTGAGTCCTAGCTGATGTATAATACGGTGTGTACTAAAAGATATTTCTTTTCTTTATTAAAAAGTGCTATTTCAATATAAAATATTAATGCATGAAAAGAGACTGGGGAGTTTCTAGTATGCCTGGGGTGTAGCCTGGTTCCAACTTTGCCTACCAATAACACTCCTCAATCCTTTGCAAAGCCCCGTCCCTAGAATCACACGCAGGAGCAATTACTATCTGTCGTGAAATAAAGTTCAGTTCAGTGGAACCAGTGACGGATTTAGGAGGGGGCGCATCCAGCGCCCCCCCCCCCAACCCCCTAAAATTGTCAAAGTTAACATAAATCACAGTTTCGTCTAGAAAATGTAAATATGCCTACATGGTAGACCTCATTTTTACCCTACAAAATCTCTAGAACCCAGGGGCTTCCGGGGGTTCGCCCCTGAGCCCCCACCAGGACTTTGCCCTTGACCTACTGGGAGCCTCAAGGCGGCCTCCAGACCCCTTGCCTTCTTTTGGCGCCCCTCTAACTTCAATTCCTAGATCCACGCCTGGGAATGTCCTGAAAAACAACTCAATTTATAAATTTATAAAGGGGCATCTAGAATCAAAATATTTAACATTTTTATGTCAATTAAACTGTAAAGCGGGAATTCAATTATCCAACAAATAACTTTAGTGGAGTGATATTTTTTCAGGCGAGAGAACAGTGACGTAGCATCGTTTTTGAAAATTCAAGCTATCCGTTGAAAACAACTTGACAAGCAAAAAAAAAAAAACAAAACAAAACAAAAAAAAAAAAAAAAAACAAAAAACCAAGGAAATTGTCCAAACTTGAAAATACATAGGCGTCGATCGGAACCGCAGAGAGAGAGGGGGTCTTAGCCCCCACTTTTTCCCAAAGTTAGACTTAGTATAACATTGAACATTACTGCGTAGGTTTAGCTCCCCCCCCCCCCCACACACTTTCCATGGACTCGATGCAGCATAGGTTTTAAATGTGGAAAGTGGTGATGTTTTGAAAAAAAGAAATTGGCACTGAAATTTGAACCCCCCCCCCACCACCATCACCACCACACACACACGATATAGGATTTTTGTGTTTGGACAGTGGACATTTCTCCTTTTTTTTGCTTGTCAAGTTTTTTTTTGAAGGTCTAAAAAATATTTCTTACGCTTAACCCCCCCCCCCCCAGCCCCAACTTTCACTTTGCTTCCGATGCCAATGAAATCATATTAAAGGGGGTGGGTGGGTTTTGGGTTAAATTCAACTTCTTCTATAGTATCAAATTTAAATGTTATCCCTACTATACTACATTAACCTTATTTGACCCTTACCCTTACAAAAAGTGGGTCGGCCTTTCAATGAGCATATTCAGTAAAGTACCGGTATATAAAGTTATGTTTAAAAAAAGAGGCCGCTATTCCGTGTGCCCAGAGGAAATAAATATGGAGTTTCCGGATCGGGTGATCGGATTCGGCCTTCAGATGTTCGATTGATAAAGTATTAAGGCAGAAAATTGAAAAATCTTTAATAACCCTGGCCCGGGTTTGCTTACCTAGTTTTACCATCACTCGTAGCGAACACCTCTGCCACCTAGCGTTATAATGCGGCACTAAATTTTGACAACTTGTATTCGTCTTCATTGAATATGCTTCATTCTTAGTGTGATTGAATTCACGTTCGTAATTGAGATAATCATTTAAGAAACTGTATCAATTTTAAAAGAAAGTAAAATGAATTAACAAGAATAAAGCAACATAGAAGTAAGGGCAAAATGAAGAAGGATAAAAGTCAAAATGAAATGCAATGAAGACGAATATGAAAACAATAAAGTGACATATAATTACAATAATAACAAAGCATAAAGAAGTAGGCAGAATAAGAATAAAAGCAAGATACATAGACTTTTGGCGGTAATTCCCTTCCATAGAATATACTTGAAGTTTACAAAAAAAATTTTGTTGGGACTGAAAACCAAACTCAAGACATCTGCATTATTTCATACCTTGTAAAATATATCTGCGGGTACTTATGGCTTAAGTTAATATATGTAATGAACACAACCATGTTTGTGCTTTTGCGTGTCTCTCACCAGGTAGCTATTTGGTATCCTACAATAAAATATTTGTTCTGAAAAATAATAAAATTTAATCTGTTAAATTGTTTTAGGGAAAAAATTATATTAAAAAAATCCATAATTCTTTTAATATGCGTTATGTACTTTAATATTGTGTGTATAGGAATATTTTAATTTTTGGTATTCTGTTATATTTGTGGGAAACAAAAATAGATATACTGGGTCTGAATTTACCTAACACTGATATTACAGGAAGTTTTGGAAGGGCAAGGTCAAAATTCATTGGTGACGTAGTTTGATGCAGACAACAAATGTTGTCTTGCACTGGGATTTAAATAAAATATCAACGAAGGATTTATGTGTTTAAAGCGTTGGATGTAAAAAAAGTCAGGAAATCTGTGGCATGTGCATGTAAGGACATCACTTGTTCACACAGAAACGACATGAAGCTTATTTTGACCGTGTGTCACAGTTTACAACAAACTATAAGGGGTTGGATTTATATG